GATGCGGGACTTGATCCCGGGACTCCAGGATCATGACCTGAGCCGAAGGCAGTCGCTTAACCAACTGAGCCACCCAGGCGCCCCTGCATTTTCTTATTTAAAACCAGAACCACCTGTGACCCTGCTTTTAATACCCACCTTCACCCTTTGCCAGTTGATATGTGGGATCAAAATGACCCCTCTGGCACCAGGATCCTCCTACTTTTGGATGGAGGGTCACAAGCTGCTCAGGGGTCACCAAGAGAAGAAAGGGGGCAGGGAGTGGATGGGAATCCCTAAGAACAACAATTCAAAGCTACAGATGAAGGTGGCAGTGCCAAGCTGATATCTCAAGGCTATGCTGATCGGGTTCTTCCACTCCCGACGTGGGTTGACATTGTGGTGGTGTTAGAAAGGGGCTGAAAGCAGAGGGGCTTATGGCATGATGGACGCCGTCATGGAAGACAGCAGTTCTTTTTCAAGTGTTCGTTTTCAGAGCTGGTCCAGAAATGTCCATGGTGTCCGGCCAGGCAATGTGAAATCAAAAACTCATCAAAAATGCTCTGAGCTCATCCTTGGTTTCTTTTCAGGAACCTCATGACCCCAGAGGCCGTGGCTACGGCAAAGGGTCCTAGCACAGGCCGTGGTCACTGCAGTGGCACTTTGACTACAATCTCAAGTTTGTCGAATGCTGCCCCATGGTTGTTCCATTGACACCTACAACCGTGTTAGCAGAGGGGGCTTCGGGCACGAACTCACAGGGGCCCTAGAGTGGACGGTCTCTCCTTCTGTGTAACAAGCAGGTGGGATGCAGCCATCTCTCAGAGGCGTCCCTTCAGGCCATGGACGTAAACGTGACCTGGCTTGCTATGGTTCTCATGGAGATCTGGGAGCCAGCAGGCCCCCTTGACATCTCAGTGGGTCCTACCATCTGCATTCTAGGCCAGAGTTCTGGGCCCTGGGCTGCAGACTTGGGTGCCTCATAATTTCAACCCAGACAGATGTCCAGGCAAACACTCAGCCAGATGGCGTCATTTTAAAGCTTCTGACCCAAGCCTCACCACCACACCCAATTATGAACCCACTTCAAGGAATCTTTGTAAACTGTCATTTGCAAGCTCCTGAGAAGGGAGGCCACGCCTGTTTAGTTCACCCCTGCGTCTCCAGGGCCCAGCAGAGTACCTGGATCTCGGCAAGCCCTCAAGAAATACTTGTTGAATGAATGAGAAAGTGATCACACATCGTTCTTGTGACTAATGCCTGTGCACGGGGACAGGCCCTCTCTCCCTGGCCTTCCCATGGAAACAGGACCCTCCCAATACAGGGAAGACCTCAGCGACAGTGCCACCGTCTAGCTGGGTGACCGGGTACGTGCCTGACCCCTGGGAGTCACAGTGCCTGCACCTGCTGCCTGGTGGCCAGGGGACTCGAGTGACGACCCCAGCTCTGTCAGGCCCGTGACCCCGGACAAGTCAGTGAGCTTGTCTGAGTCACAGTTTGCTGGCTCTTTATAAAGTGGGCAGGAGAGTGCTGGCCTCTCAGGGTTGTGTGGTATGCAACACACCTGCTGGGAAGGGACAGGACACACTCAGTTGTGGGTCTTAGCCCACAGCTCCTAATGCAACAAACACTGATCGGAATTGCTTTATTTTCCCATTGATACTTTTAAGGGGTTTGTCTTCCTTCTTACTATACTGCTCCACGCATGAAGCTAATGTGGTTACAATAACGAGACACTGCTCTCCTGATGCATTAAAAGCACGTGTACCTTTAGAAGATGCAGTATGTTTCATTGCCACGGTCTGTTACCTAGAAGTTTCTAGCTACTCACTTCAGGGTCTGTACATGTGATAGGAGACATCAAAGAGGACACTGATGGATTGTGGGGGCTCGAGGCAAAGACTGATCACCGTCTCTAGGTTGCTTTCTATGCCAAAGCCTGGTCTGTAAGGCCGTGACTCCACACTACTTACCGGTGTTTTGCAGTGTGGTCGGACTGGTACAGGGAAGACAGCCTGTGCGAAGTGAGAACAAGAGAAGCGAGGCCATCAGGACCCCCGACTCCAGCTTAGGCCAGTCTGGGGTCTGTTCCCCGCTGTCCCCTGAAGGTCTCCCTCCCCCGCCCCACCCAACTTACTCCTTTGATGTTAATCACAGCTCCAGGGGGTCCCGGGGGCCCTGGAGGACCAGGTAAGCCAGGTGGGCCCTGAAGGGAGAAGAAAGGCCATGCCTGAGTTCAGGTTATTGCGAGCGCAGAGGCACTGCAGGATATTTTCTCCAGGATTTGGGGACATGACGTGAAAAGAAGAGTCCTCTAAAGTCGACTAACTTCTCCCACAGGTAGGCCTGACACTTCTAAAGAGCACGACTGCATCTGGGACCCCCATGGCATCTTTATAGCAACCCATGGGGGAGGCAGCGGAGCAAACAGTCTCCCTGGTTTACAAATGGAGGCCGAGGCCCCGAGAGGGGAAGTGACCCGCTCAAGGCCACACAGTCGGAACTCAGATTCTGACTCCCAGAGCAGTGCTCAGCCAACACAGAAACCCACCACTTCTCCACCAGCACATCCCTACTATGGAGGGGCAAGTGGGGTGGGGAGGCTCCTTCACCAGACTTGGTACCTGGGAGAGTGCCTCATAAATGCAAAAATAAATGCAGAACTCTTGCTCAATAGCAGAGCTATTTTCAAAGCCAGGTCAACCTGGCCTTAGTACCACACAATGTTTTCTTCTCCAAGCCTGGATCTGAAGCAGGACCTCGCAGTAGGAGGGGTGAGGCTCTGACCACAGGCACGAGGAGTCTGGCCTGCTCAGAAGCCACACTCATTACCCTAAGTGAAGGCATGAGTGTCTGCTTTTCCGAGCAGCTGCAGCGGGCTTGACAAGTGTGAGCCAGTCCCCACAAGCTTCGGGAAAACTGCATATCGGATTTCTGGACATACAAAGGAGAGACAGCGTGGCCCAAACAAAAGCAGACTTTGCAGAGAGTCTGGTACATAGTAGGAGCTCAATAAACGTTCGCTTCCTTATTGTAGATCCTGGAACCTGCGGATGTCCCCAGTGTCTGCCATCTTGTGAGGCTCGGCCTAAGTAGCTGACCTACCTTTGAAATGCACTCACAAGCGTGTCCTGAGCCGCTAGGGATGTGCGAAATCCCTGGGACTGGGTACGGATGGAAGACGGGATACTACCCCAGGGCCAGAAGACTGGGATTTGAGACCAGATTTCCTGACTACACCCGGACTGCTTTCTCCCACTCTCCCTTTTGGGTCTGGACAAGGAAGCTTATGTTCCACTAAGGTGCTTTCAGTGACAGGGACCCTCCTGAGAGTGAGCTGGAGGACAGCGATGGGCTGGAGGATCTTTGGAAGTGGCAATGGAGGAAGGAGAAAAACATTCCTAAAGATGCTGTCTGCAAGCCCCACCCGCTGGACCTGGCACTCTCTCGGTCCTCCTCTGGGCACTGGACTCAGGGCTCTGTCCCCGGGGAGTGCGGGGTTGGGGCAGTGGTCATGTCACTCACCGGCATCATGATCCCTTGGTCTCCTTTGGCGCCCTTGAGGCCATTCAGTCCTGGGCGACCCTGAAACCCACACGTGATGCCTTAGTAAACCCACTGCCCAGCCACTAGCCTGGCCCATATGTCCGCCCCTCACGTCCAGTCTGAGGAACACCAACACCTACAGGTCGTCCAGGAAGGCCAAACTCTCCTTTGTGTCCCGGCGGTCCTTTGGGCCCCTAGAGGCAAAACAATTACCAGATTAGAAAAGAACAGAAAGTCAAGGGCCAAGGCGATGGGAGACACTGGCCTGACTTCACGAGCAGGGGTGAGGATGAATCACTGAGGGGAGGAAGGAGGACAACAGGCAATTATGAAGTATCCACCTGCCTGCCACCTTGTCTCCCAACCTCTCTGCTCTTGGCTGGGACCACCTGTTCTACCCCTTACCTCCCCAGGGGCTCCTGCCGGCTCTGCCCCACCCCAGACTCCGGACCCCACCCTCTCAGTCAGGGCTAACAAAGGAGCAAGAGGTCAATAGTTCAGGGCCTCAGCCCCCAGGTAGCAGGGTGCTGGGGTAG